ACCGTGTTAAAATTATTCAGAAGCAGGGTTACAGAAGTTAGTGTGGTATAATATCTACTTTTTATGAAGGCCATCTTAATGGTGATCGGTATTTAAACCTACTAGCTACGCAGAATTATCCGCTTATTGACGCTCTACTGGAACAAGTTAAACATGATCAAATCTTTCAACAAGATAGTGCTCCTTATCATACGTCACGACATGTTATTAACTGGCTGAACAACCCATTTACAACTTGGATAGGTCGACCAGGAACAATACCTTGGACAGCTGTTAGCTCTGATTTAGATTTCTTTCTATGGGGAAACCTAAAAAATAAAGTTTATCAAAATCGGACTGAAATAGGGAGAACAAAGAGCAAATAATACAGGAAATACTTAATATCAACGGATCTAAAATGGTTAGTGATGCTATAAATAAAATGGAAACTATATATACGACGTGTTTGGCGGTTTATGGAGGACATGTTGAAAATTTATTATAATACCTGTTGTTCCAATCCAAATCCAAGTCAATTCTTTAAGTATTATATCTGACATATTATAGTTTTTTTAAATAAAAATATGTCACATTTTATAAAATTTAGGTCAAAAAATTATTGATAATTTTGAAATAGCAACTATCACCAGCCTCATATATTTCTTTGGAATATTATTGATTTTAAACGCTGTGTTAGTCAACTAAGAATAGATATAACAAAGTTTGAAACCGCAGCAAAATCGTCATATAAGAATATTAATTTATCAATCTTTCGAAAACTAAACATGTTCAGCATATACAACCTTACCTTATACAAACTTACCTTTATTTTTAATGATAAATAAGATAAAATTATAAAATTGCAGGGGTCGGTCCATTAAAAAAAAAGATTTTGATAGTTTTCTTAAATTATTACCTAATCTTACTTTTTGAACACCCTGCATTATTAGTTAACAAAATATTATTATTTTAATAAATTAAATATTATTTTTAATGGTAAATAAGATAAAATTATGAAATTGGAGAGGTCGGTTCATTTAAAAAAAGATTTTTGACATTTTTGTTAAATTAGTATTTAATCTTACTTTTTGAACACCCTGCATTATTAGTTAACAACATATTATAAACATTGTGTTAAAGTATGTTCTTGCCAACAACGTATTAAACCCAAATTAAAAAATAAAGATTTCCTTTTAGGAAAAATTGGTATTAGTCCTAGGGCCTGCAAATGACATATTTAAAATAAAAACTTAAATATGTCAAAAACCATTAGACATAGATATAGAACATTTAATTGACGAACTCAACAATGGCTAGATTGGCGAGAAAATAGACTGTATAATTTATAAGAAAACTACGATATTGTAGCCTTATTACTTTAGTGTGTGTTTGATCGACCTGTGAGTCCCGGATTATGCGGGGAGCCGGCCGGCTGAGGCGATTGGAACACTCTAAATTGTCACTAACAGATAATTGTTAATTGTTAGTCTATCGGAACGACCGCAACAGGGAAGGGAGAAAATCACGAGCGACAAATTAATACGTGTTGGTTTTTCTGCAACGTTCTACCGAGTACCGATCGATCGATACATTTCGAATCCAAAAAAGCACTACTTGCACTTTGCACTTGCGTATAGGCCTTAAAACGTACCGGGAAATTAAAATACTAAGAAAGTGTCAACATAAATTGCGGTGGTAGTAAATTCTTTTTCCCTTTTAATATAAGGGCAACGAACATTAGAAAAATGACTAAATTAAATTAATTAACTATTAAAAGAACATGCAAACGTAACATTCCGCCTACCAAAATACAACGAATTTTTTTAATGTGTTATTTGTTGGTAGCGGACAGTTTAATAACCGGGCTATTTGAAGTCTTTACAAGAGCCACTCTAACTATACCGTCTTCCATTGCATTGGCGGGTCGAGATCATCTTTGATTAGTACCAGCAGCGTACCAATTACAACAGAAGAAGGATCTTTATACTATTTGCTACGCTGATGATACGTATATCAAAATTCTTTGGACCACCGGGCCCAGAAATCTTGAAGCATTCGCTGGAGTAGTTGCCAACGATCTAAGTTACTAAGAGAAGTCGAAGTGTAATCGTTTTCAGGGGTGCCATCACGGGTTTCAATGTAAGAAAATAACCCGGCGTGAGGGCTGAAAGGTCGTAGGGATCGGTACCAAAAACGGTAAGTGGACGAGAATTCAAAATGACTTCAATTTGGATAAAAACAGTGTTCAACTCTTCATATGTTAATATGTGACCACAAAAGACCCTGTAAAGGTGACTTTTAACCGCTTTCACCCGCCAAAATGTGGAGCCGAAGGGGGGTTGAAGTGCCAGGTGATACACACTTTATTGGCGGACTCCCGCATAAAACTATTTTGAGCACCTACAAAATTTGAAATAGCTCAGAGGTATTCGATGCGAAGGTTGCACAAACGATTGCGGAGCTGGATCGCGATCCTGGATGCGTGTGGAAATGTAAACATTGTATCGGAACGGAACCTGATGTCTCCAAGTACTTTCAAGAAGTAATTGTAAAGGTTAATTCACTCATGTCAACTACGAGCGAATTAAAAGTTGAGCAAGGTCTCTTTAAAGATTCCTTGTAATTTTTTGGGGGGAAAATTGATGACTTTACTGCCCAGATGGAAACAGTTAAAAAATACCTTAGGAGATTAATAACTTAAAAGAGGAACTTGTATCAGTTAAAGCTGAATGTAGCTCTTTGAGATCAGAACTGGAGTGGATGAAGCAACAGGATAGAAATATTAACTTGGAAGTATGTGGTGGTTACTGAGATAAAGGGTGAAAACGTTGGAGATATTGTTAAAAAAATTGGAGAGACCCCACAAATTGAACTTCAGGATGATGATATTGTCTCCAGTCACAGAGTCATCCAATTTCCGGGTGTTCCCTCCAAAAACACCCCCAAAAATATGGTGGTTAAATTTCAGTCCATTTCGAAAAAAACTGAAGTCGCACGTGCAGCAAAAAAGCGAGAGATTTGCAATCACTACTTAATACCTCAATATTTGATTACCCACAACCAAGCAACACAAAGTTAAAATACCCGTGACAGAACAAAATGGTATAGGAATCTTAAAATATGAAAAATTTGTAAATGCCGAAATGCCGGAAGCTTTAGTAAAAATTATCGATTCATGTGCGTTAACAACTATTACTAACACATCTGAAAATCCTGTTAGTATACAATTTATTGAACCTCTAGAAATTGAATTAATAAATGAATGTGAAACTAATTTCATTGAAAAAATAGAAGATAACAATGAAAATTAAATCGAACATTCAAAAAGTAATTTCGACAATCTGCAAAAAGAAAATCTAAAAAATTTAAGACTGAATCACTGCAATAAAGAAGAATACAAAGCGATTAGGAAGTTATGTTACGAATATCGAGACATATTTTATTGCGATAAAGTGCCATTAATCTTTCACAAATCAAATTTAACACAAAATTAATTTAACTGACGAAACACCCGTTTACACAAAAAATTACCGTCATCCTGAAGTACATAAAGCCGAAGTAAATAGACAAATAGGCGAAATGCTAAAAAATAATATAATCCAACCCTCACATTCCCCGTGGAGTCCTATATGGATCGTACCAAAAAAATTAGATGCATCAAATAAACGTAAATGGCGCGTTGTCATAGATTACCGGAAACTTAATGAAAAAACAATCAATGATAAATTTCCCTTGCCTAATATTTCAGATATTCTCGATAAACTCAGTAAAGCCCAGTATTTTTCAACTCTGGATCTAGCTAACGGTTTTAATTTTTTTAATTAATTAATTTTTTAATTTTTACGGACCATAGACCATTAGTCTGGTTGTTTAACCTAAAAGAACCAAATTCAAAACTTATGAGATGGAGACAAACTAGAAGAATTTGACTACGAAATTCTTTATAAAAATGGCAAACAAAATACAAATGCGGACGCCTAGTCACGAATAAAATTAAATGCTTTAGAAACTGACTCTATTTATAGTGTCTATTTATAATATTATATTCTAGACAACAATTTTCATCCGAATAAATTAGACTGGATTGAAATTTCAAAAACACTCGAGGAAATAGAAAATAAACGCCTAAAAAGCCCAAAAATAATCATTCTCGAAAACAAACTTTTAAGGCCAGTTTTTGAAAATACAATACATAGTACTAATAATGACAAAACTTTACAGGGAATACCTATATTAAATGAAATTATTAACAAGAACGAAATATATTAATTAAATATAAAAATGAAGGTAAAACTAATCACAGAGGCATAGAAGAAACTTGTAAATTTCTAAAAAATAATTATTACTGGATGTTACAAACTATATTAACGAATGTGAAATTTGCCAGCGAGCAAAATATCAACGAAAACCACCAGATCAACCTTTAATGTTAACTGAAACACCTTCAAAACCATTTGAAATTATACACGTCGATACCTTTATTGCCGGCGGACAAAAATTCTTAACTATAATTGATAAATTCTCTAAGAACTGCGATTTCAGCATGCCAAAAATTAGTACATTTCTTCTCATTCTATGGAATACCAAATTCCGATATTATTTCACTTATGCCCTATGCGATCATTGCATATAACAGTACTATACACACAAATACTAATTTTACGCCTTTTGAATTAACACTAGGACACACTGATACAAGTGACCCTATGAACCTAATCACTTCTCAAATATATTGTGAATACGTAAATAACCATCAAACAAATACTAAGCTTCTTTACGAAAAGGTACATAACGATTCCCTTTTAAAAAAACAAAACGATCGATAAAACTAATAAAAATTAATAAAAACAAAACTCCAGTAGAACTAAAAATTGGCGCAACGGTGTATAAGCGCATCGAAAGTCGAAAAGGTAAATTAAATAAAAAAATTTCTGGACCATTCATATTAACAAAAATCTTAGATAATAATAAAATTGAAATGGAAAACCCAAAAACAAACAAAAAAGAAATAACTCACGTTAACGAAACTAAAATAATGAACATTGTTCCAGGTGGCTCGCAAACATCGGAGCAAACGAAGTAAAATTCCACAACCTGAACAACTATCTAGGAATCCTTCCTTATAAACTAGGTACCGCAAAAATAACCTCTAACCAATTCTTCTTTATACAAATTTTTGATTTAAACCCAGCTGTTGCTGAATTCTATGCAATCTATAACAAAGTAAAAATATTAATTAGTCAGATTAAAAATAATACTAATTATTCTCACGAATATTCTAATTCAGTCATCCCTCTTGTAACATTAGCAAAACGCATTGAAAACCAAATTAATCAACTCAATCCATCATATATAAGAAGAAATAAAAGAGGTCTATTAAACCCAATCGGTTCTATTATTAAATGTATTACTGGAAACTTAGACCAATCGGACGAGGCAAAAAAACGATATAGAAATCAAACAACTGCAAGAAAACCAAAATAATTTAGGAACTAATTCAATTAATCAAATAAAACCGTTAGAAAAAACAATCAACTCATTTAAAAATTTGATATCCAATATTTCTCATAACCAACTCATCCTTAAATACAAAATATTACAAATTGATCAAATAATCAAAAAGATAACTGTTGAACAAACGAACGACTATGAGTATTTCCAAATACATGTAGTAATGAATCAAATTACCTTTATGTATAATTCAATATATAACATTTTTGAGAACTATTCGAAGAAATTAAAAACATTAAAAAAGAATTAAAGGAAAACCAACTACCGTTCGAGTTATCTATCGAAAATATATTAAATTTTGAAAAAATTATAGAAATAAAAAGCTACTCTAGAGGACTAATAATAACTTTTATTTTGGAACTACCACTAGTAGAATCAGAAATTTATCAATATTACCAATTGTATCCGCTACCAGTTAATAGTGAACAAGAACTGCAATATTACGTCAATATACCGATCCAACCATACCTGAGTGGAAATATATACTCATTTATGGACTCTAAATGTGTGAAACTATTAAAAAATGGGTTGATGTGTAAAAATATATATATTACCTATATGAAGGAACACCCGCCTTGTTCAGTGGAAATAATAACTCACAAGACCAATGTGACAAACTGTAAACCAATTAAAATCCAACTTCAAGAAATAAAAATTTTTAAAATCCAAAATGGAAAATGGATTGACACCTAAGAAGACAATAGCAACAGTACAATGTAATGACGACATTAACATTGTACCATTATTCGGATCTCACCTTATCGAGTCTTCCCCAATTTGCAAAGTACAAATTGGAACGACTAGGGACCTATACCCCTAATCGATTGAGATTTGATGACACCCGTCTACCGGAAGTGAATTTCTCACTACTACACAAACAGAAAACAATCTTCGATCCACCAGAACTCACACTGGACACGATCAACCTAAAGGCAATAAAAGAGCTACAAATCCAAATGGACGAAGCAAAAGAAAACCTTGGGAAGATGTCATTACCTATATATTCTACAAGAACTAGTGTTTGGACAATTTTGTTGTACCTAATAATTATATTGATTTTGATTTATTTGTTATATAGATGTTTTCCATTTAAAAGGTTACCTAAAATTAATAAACAAAAAGAGAATATTATTATTTAAACTAAAACCACTTGTTGTACCCGTGCTTTCATCTAAGGGCGGAGGTGTTATAAACGCTCTAATATTGTAAACCGCTGAATAAAAGTTCCCATACATATTGTTTCCCAAAGTGTCAGCAATTTGTTTATATAAAACCACGGTGCGAACCACATCGCCAGCTTTTTGTCATCTCGCTTGAATAAAGTTTTTTAAAAAATCAAATTTGTTTTACACGACGAAAACTCTTTGCACAGGTTTTTGAGGCTGCAATTTATTTACAGTTGTTTTTTCTGGTAAAGAATGACATAGATCAAAATCAACATGGTTTTCACAAAAAAACGTTCAGTTCTTACTCTTACAAACTTGGATAAAGTCTATCGAAACGACCGCAACAATGAAGAGAGAAAACCACGAACGACGAATTAAAACGTGTTGGTAATGGTAGAAAATTTGTATTTTTTTAGGGCAACTAATATTAGAAAAATGACTAAATTACACTAATTAAACTATTAAAGGAGCATGCAAACGAAACAACATTATATATAAAATTTTCCTAGAAATTTGAGTAGAATCCAAAAAAGTAATAATATACAGGATGTTCGATTTAAAAAAAAATGAAGTTGTGTTTACCCGGCAACACTAAGTGGCCACCCTGTACAAGATCTTTACGAAAAGTCTTTAAACATGTTGTCTTTTTGTATATAATGGCTTTACATAATAATAAGGGACTTGAGGACAAACTACTTGTTATTAACAATATAGGCTACAATACACAAGAACTGACAGCCGTAGATAAAGCATAATATGCAACACGTTTGGTCAACCTTTTAAGTCACTCATTTAATAAACACTCGCTCCGCTTTACCACACTTTTCGCATAATATACCATTATTCTATTTAAATATATGTTATACAGGGTGAGTCAAAGTATAGGTCATCCCGTTAATGACACATTGTGTATAAATGTGATTTTCATTATGCCATTTTTCATTTTCGGGGCCGGTTTCTAAAATGCAGGGTGTAAAAATGTATTCATAAAATAACATTTTTATTTATAAATCTCGCAGTTTTACACATATTTCACTTTTATGTAGATTTTTATGTGGATTATCAGCAACTTTTCTTTATGTACGCCAATGGTATTAAAACTTATTTAGTTTAATAAACCTCTTACTTTACACTTTTTGTCTCTTATGTATTTTGGATGACAGTTGTAGTTTTTAAAACATTATACAATACAATACTATTGAACTAGACACTAATAATAATCTTCCATTTTTAGATATTCTTATCAATAGAAAATCAGACCTAACATTGGGTCATTGTGTTTACAGAAAATCTACGCGCACAGACCGATACTTTAATGCATGGTCACATCACCATCAGAGTTAAAACACCTTACCTCTGCTCTTCCCTCTAATAATTTCCACATGAAAGATATTGAGCGTTCTATCAAAAAATACACTTCACCACAACCTTCCAATAGCGATCACTGACCACATATCAAAAGTTCCAAAGAAGTATAACGTCAAAACCAGATTTACCATTTGTTCAAAAATCTCTCAACATCTTCGGTCCGTCAAAAACAAAATTCCATTTGCGATGCCAGGAGTTTACAGCATTCCATGCATATGCGGCAAAGAATAAATTGGAGAGACCGGACGAAAAATATCAGCTGGCTCAAAGAACACGAAAGAGCCTTACCTCTAAGACAAATAAACTCATCGGCTGTTGCCGAACACACTCATGAAACCGGACATAACATTTTATTCGATAAAACTAAAATTTTTGCATGTAATCAGTTCTTCTACCAACGAAAAATCCGACAATCTATACAAATCTATAAACAACCTAACAATCTTAACCGCGACTCAGGTCTCTATCTGTCATCAATATGGGGATCAGTCATCCGAGACGGTGTTTATGCCGCTAATTTAGCTCTGCCCCCCTCAAACAATATATAAGCAGGTCCAGAGTAAAATACGAATCAGTTTCAGTGAAGCTCTGAAAAAGCCAACAGTATGATTGGCGAAACGTCGGCAAGTTCGACTCAGCAAAAACTGACGCAGGATGAATCAAGAAATTTTGTAAAAAGTAAATCAATAAATGTTTTAATAGCAAAACGTGTAGTTTGCAGTAACATGTTTAAATTTTAACAATAATGTTTAAACATGTGTAGTTAAAATAACATTTCGATTTCTTTTCATGCAAACAAATCTCAAAAAACTTTTATTTACCGAATTTGTTAATTCAAGAATTTGTCAGACTGAAGAACAAAATCAAAAAATCCGAAACGTTGGTACCCAGACCCACACAATACATTACGTCATTCGACTCGTCCAAATTTGCAGTAACATACAGAGCATCCTATTAAAAGTTAGAAAGTCAGAGTAAGATATATCTTGCATATACAAATAAACTAATAGATCTATCATAGAAAAAATCTCTGATTTCAATAACATTTTTTTTTAAAACACCCCAATAAAATACTCTACTACTACTCGGGAAGTACAATAAAAAATTCAAAATTTATAAACACACAAAAAAATAATAAACAGTAATTTGCAAATTTTATCTACAAAGAAACTATTTCAAACCTTGGCAAAATAGACCTAGTTCTGTGCAAAAAATATGCGCGTTCTTATTCTTTACACTGCTTTTGGGATAAAACATATTTCACATTCGTCAAACATCTTTTTTTTTCATAAATTATTTAGGACCAATTTATTGGGAAAAAATGCAGTTTAAAAAAAAGCATGAAGAAATATTTTTCAATTAATACAATTACTTGGAAATAATTGGAATACAGCTGTTAGATTTGGCAAAAAAGAACAAGTACATATATGTAAGGCAAGCAAGATATTTTGTAGATTGCTTTGTGGGGTGATGAAGTTAGTCACAACAGTAATAAGGACAAAATATATAAAGATTTGCAACATTAATGAAGCATTAATGAAAGCAGAAGCTCATTTGGTCATTACTTGCTCAATAAAAAAATAAAATGATTGTATTTGAATTAGCTCTGACGTAATCAGGAAAAATTGAGAAGAAAACTGACTACGCCACTGGATCGTAAAAACTATACCTACGTCAGTCTTCACCTTTTCAATAAGTTAACGCATAACCAAACTACCAAGGGTTTCTGAAAATGCAGTATTTCAAAGCCACCCTGTATGACAAAAACTGCAACACGCTAGCTTTATTAATAAGGGGGATAAGCCATAAAACCACAACCACAAAACGATAACACTTGAATATCCCATGTAAAGAAAATGTAAAAAGAAAAATTATAGATAAAAAACAAAAAAAAAGTAAGTTTTTGGATTGGATAGAGTAAAATACACCTTGAATGGGCATTTAGTTATTGATCAATTAACTTTTATGGAAAGAAGTAGTATGTATTATTTTGTCAATACTGTAGAAAAAGTATAGTACTTCAAGCATCAAGTTTTGATTTTTTGTGGATTGTGGGAGTCAATCCTAGGGAATATAAGATAATGAGGATGTTTTGCATCTATTTTGAAGCTTTTTCAAACCTATTTGACAGAACACCATTTTAATTACATCAATAATCAAACCTAGTTTCAGAATCCTTTTCAGAATCAATTGCAACTCAGTCCCTGGCCCATTATCAATAACTAATTATTTTAGTATTTCATTTTATTTCCCTTTCTTACTTTCTACTTTCATATATTTTTGCTTACAATATTATGCGCCACAAGTTTTTCTTTTATTAGCAATCAAGGGCACTGAATATTATGCCTCCCCATATAGAAATTCTGTTAATCAGGTTGTTAATCAAATAATGAAAAACAGTTATAACTTACAGTCATCCTGGCCAATGATCTACAGGCGAACAACAGAATGAAGGAGCTGTTGGGCTGCAAAAAGCTCCACCAAACCGGGAGTTAGCCGATCTGGTGTGAAAAGTAAGCTATCACTCCAAAAACCAAATTCTACCCTGTTCCTGCGACTAGCAATCGCAAGCTTGAATATCCCATGTAGAAAATAGGAAACCCAAAAAATCTGCAACGAAATTAAAATAGTTAATACATATTCCGCAAAATAGAATATCACAAACCTTTAGGCTTTAATCGAGGTAGATGTGGGTATATATCTCAAAAAGGGCGTAGGCACTATAGCAGACAAGGAATATGGACACTTACAGTGAAAAATAACTGGCACAAAATGCATTAAACCAACAATAACACCGAAAACCTTCAATTTTACAAAAAGCCACGTATTCCTGCTACACGAATTGAATACAGTTCTTAGTTTTAGTCTAATCTGAAATTACCAGCCTCACTCGCATTCGCAACAGGCCAGAAACAAACATATATGATGCCCTCCTTCATCTACCTCACTTCACGATTATGGGTCAAAGAGCCGGACAATACGACAAAAACTGCGCCACATTAAGCAATAAAGGCCTCATAAAGTGTTGGGTACTATTCCGTGCTATCCTCATATCGAGGATTAACGTAAACATTGTCAACAATAAAATTGAAACAAATTTTCTGCCGAAATTCCAATTGTAAGCAGGCATTATAAAAACCATTAGAACGCAAAAACAGATTTCTGTATATCTTATAGGTTTATGTTAAATGCGTCCTAACCTAATATACGGACATTTCGTGGATCCCAGAATCACTTTCATTGTAAGCAGTTTACACGTCAGTGTGACTAAATTGTGCTACGAACTCATAATCTACAGAGCATCATAAACAATATATAGGGCCCACACAAGGAGTATGGGTACATTTTCGTAAAACAACACGAATACATTCACTGACATGACCGTCAGAATTGACAAACGTCAAAATTCAAAACGTGGGAATTATCTCCGATAACATCCGATTGCTCCCAAACCCGTGCGGTAAAATCGCGGAAATGTCCGCAGTGGCTCGGATTCGTGGTACGCTTCCCGCACGCTAGATCGGTGGATAATTAGGTATTTTACAGACGGGAGTAGGAAAACTAAATTATTCCTCCTGAAAATTATAAGACCGTTTTCTTTATACCTGAAACTGAATTTAGTTGTATTTATTTTTCTAACATCTGGTTGAAAAGCTGGTCATCCCAGAATTTTATTATGATTTGTCGCTTGTGAAACATTATAAAATTAAAATCAAAATTTTTATTTACGCATTTAGCATTTATTATGATTACAGTATAGTATACCTAAGAAAAATAGTAACACCAACACTTACAGTTGCTAAACTACCACGTTTACAAGGCGACCGGTTGATTAAAAACAGTCTTCTTTACTTTGCAATTAAAACTACTGAGAGGCAGAAAATAAATCAATACGCTCGTTATTTGTGAGTAAAATATTTGCAGCTTGCACATTCGATTTATAGGCGAGTTAACGCCATAGTTGGTTGTATGAAAATCAATGTTATAAAAATTCAATAAATTTCAGAAAATTCTATTAAAATTATTTTTCATATTTTGATTTTGAAACTGGGGTTTGTGAGATGAGAGTGAATTATAATTGAATCCACTGTTGACACTAAAAAAAAATGCACAGTTTCAAAATGCGAAATAGTGAAAATGTCAAAGAAAAAGGTCAATTCGATGCAATTTTTACTAGCTGGCAACCCTCACAACTCGGCCAAGGAAAATGTCGTAGACCTACTGCAAAGGCATCAAAATCTCATTACCTGACGCCACTGATAATTGGAAAGCAAACAGCAATAATGGTTAGATGACTCAAGAAAATTTTCAAGAATGCTTCATAAAATATTTAGTTCCAGAATTAATTTTTTCGAATTAGAAGAATGTTTTCTTAGTTTCAAGTTTTTCAAATTTTCTAGATTTAATTTGAGACAGAAGTTTCAACAAAAATATGTGTAGTCAGTTAAAAATGTCCATTTTGAATGGATCCATTTGGGTGCCCTTACTTTTTCTACTACACAAGTGCTTTAGCGTGAGACAACTATAGTGTTTTCTGATGAAATTTCGCTAGTTTGCAGAATGACTCTGGAGATCATGTTAAACGGCGGATAGCTCGTTCAACTGGGAAAGATAGTGTGAAATATATTTAAAGAAATAAAGAAAAAAAAATTGACTAAAGAAAAAGAAAAAAGATGTGTTGCATCAAGTATTGAAGGATTCAAAGAAGTTTGTGTGCAGCAAAATAAATGAATGAAAAAAAAAACTATTAATTGAGTGAGTACTTTTAACCAACCCTTGATCACGATTGTTTACATGGACGTACCCCCCATAATGCAATGTCTCACTTATAGAGTACGTAAAATACTTATTAACTAACTTATGAAAATGATAATTAAAAATTTAAAAGGCTAAATATAAACTCAGTTTTGATAAATTCAGTTGAATAAAAAAAAAGGTGTTATACCTTGCGGTTCCTGTAAGTAGTGGCTGCAGTCGTGTACGCTGATTTAGACTCCGGCTGTATCCGATAGCACGGTCGCGATCGATTGACTGGTTGCGGTGAAGAGCTGCTACCAAATTAAGCGAGTCACTCCAGCAGCGAACAGGAAATAGTTGTCGAATTCCAAAACGTTGCCCTACAAGGCAAACAACGTAGATAGAAAACGGAAGAAAAAATGGTAAAAAAGGAAATAAAAGGAAAAAAAGAAAAACCCCTGTAAGGGAATGCCAAAAATCAGTTACTACACCCGAAATAAAATATCACATACCTGTAGGTGTTGATCGGGGTTTACGTACGAGTGTAAGACGTATCAACTAATTGCCATTGTGCCAACAAAGCAAAAATAAGAACCTCATGTGGATGCATGAGGTACGTACATATATCACATCCCCAAAATGGCGCAGACAACCTATCAGAAAACAAATACAAAAACATCCAAATGTCTGATCCAGATGATGGCACAATAGTTTACTCGAAGAATCTTTGGCGGATGTCTCAACTCGGTGGCCTGGTATTTTCTTTAAAATCACCAAAATCACACCGAAAAATTCAATTACACTGCGAAGCCCATTCGAACGTTAATGTGTTCTCTAGACGCAAAATCAACCCTCACGAACAACGAAGATCAAGATATTCTTGTCTAACATTCACATAGTCCCATTGGGCGTCTCACTCCACCGCATTCACGATCACAGGTGGAGATAAACTCGACGCGTAATGCCAAATCAACCAGCAAATCAATGTATCAATCACAACAACCGAGAATGCGGAGCAAAACGTAACACTAAACAAGTAATAAAGACCAGAAACGTTCTATCGAGTTACATTACCCAAACACTGAAAAGGAATTAATTTTAACATAAGGAATTATTATTCTTCGCGAGAAACCTTAGAGACTATTCCACAATCTGGCAACTGCGCCAGTAACGACTCCGGCCGGTGACATTTGGAAGCTTGATGATTACAGTAAACAATGGAAAAAATCAGAATGCAACAAGTTTTACACAAAAATACAGGTGTAATCAAGGTAATCGTACAAAATATTGACCAGGAATAACGGATACCAAAAGCACACTAAATGCTAAACTGACGGAGAACGTTATAACCTGAGAATCATGAAAATTCTCCAAGAGAAAATTGATGTAATGTGGCATGCAGGTACAAATTTCAGCGATAGGACAATATATCCAGATAATCCTCGAACTTAAAACATCTAGAATCGCAATGACCAGTAAAATAACAAGTGACAATATACCAGTCATTTTCAAAACGAAGAAATGCGCTTCATAGGAACATTGTTACAAGAAGGAAGCATTTTTAAATTTTGTCATATGATTGATATCAAGTTTTAAATTCTCCACCATATCACTCTTGCGGAAAAGACAAGTGCAAACCGCAAAAAAAAGAAACACTTTTCTTACTACAAAAATCTTCGTCTTGATCAAAAGATCAGTTAATAGTTAATTTCCTGTTTAGCTACAGAACCACTCCTTATGCATGTGAAACTTAAAACATGGTTAGATTTACTTAAACCGAAAGAGAATATTAGAATAATTTAAACCCAATGCAGATGAATAGTGGAAAGTAGGAGTAGAGTTACCTATCTTGTAAAAGTCAAATGGAAATTAATATATGCGTTAAGCATGTGAGCAGCATTCGGAAAACCATAACTATTACTGAAAATATCAATGTTTTCAAGTAACCTGTTCATGGGGATTTGTAACTTCTAAGTTTTAGAGTTAATGTTATTTTCATGCAGGAACTTCGCAATGGTGAGTGAGTAAGTTAATCTCATTTAAATTCAAATTTCCCAAGTTTATGTTTATTCAGATGAGGTCACTTATTGCTTGAATGGGTTTTAAAAAATACCATAATAGAAATTTAAGCATCCCATAAGCAAAATTTTTTGAAAACCATTTGGCCATAGCGTCAATTGCCCTGTATTTATGGTGTTTCAAAACAAAGAAGAAAAACTTAAGGGGGTAATTCTATGTGTAAAATAGAGGGTAGTTGGTTATATAAACGTTGTTTTTATGTTTTATCTAAAAGAAGAAAATATATAGCACCAAAGAAAAACTTATTTTGTTAATTTTATGTTTTATATAGAAACTTTTGTCTTCTGGAATATTTTCATAACGCTCACTGTCCACAAATAAAAAAATATAATCAAAAAAATTATAGTCACTTCCTATGGCGTTTCTTATTACTGTTTCATTTGACAATACTTAGTTAGTTTAAATAAAAAATAGCACTAATTCAAACTGATTATCTAATCCTTCAATTGTTTAATAATAAAAAGTTTTAATTCAATAATGATTAATTACACTAATGCAGAAATGTATTTTAAGTAATGGAGAACAAATTCAAATTCTTTAATTCTTTAAAGTTTGTACTTATACACAAGCATATCTAAATGGTATACCTAATCACAGCTTATGTTTGATTATAAATTATTTTTGAAACATAATTGTTTGGAAGATTATCATAAATGTTAGTACAAATACCGTTGGACAACACACAACACCGAACAAAAATTATTTGTATTTTTATTTATTTTTTTTTGACATTCGACCTACATTTAATTTTTTTATATAGAAACTAAATTTTTCGCATCTATTTTTAAACACCCTGTATATATGTCGATATCGAAACTTTGATATATAAAGGCAGCAAAATATACCGTAATACAGGCAATCTGAATGACGGAGGCAGAGTTCCCCACTAAGACACATAATCGTGTAACCACATGGCCAAATTGTCTGCATCAATTAGCGATGAGAAATAAACAATATAGTACAGCCTCAATATGTGGAATAAGACTACAACTTTTTTTCAGTATAATCAGCTTGGAAAGTGCAAATGAAATAATTTTTGTTATACAAAAAATTTAAATTAAATTGAAATCTTTGGTACAGAAAAAGTATTTTCAATTATTACACCAGCTTACATAAATTTTGTTAGGGAATTTATTATCAACACATTAAATTGGTGAAGAAAAAAAAGATATGGCTTACCTTCGCAGGTTTCTGTATCGGCGGACTTAAGTTTCCCAGAACAGCACACAATTCCGATGAACTTTGTATCACGCTATGTACCGATGCCCAGCAACTATGCACGAGGCTATGTAGATGGCTAAAGTGTCAAACCCTCAATTTAAAACCCTAAAAGACAAATACAAATAGCCAGCTATATATTTACTTAATGATGGTATTAATTTTACCAATATGGAACAAAACAAGAGATTAATTAATTAAACCTTAAGGATTTTATACTTTTCCCCAATACCACAATAAAAAAAGTACATTTGGTTTATAAATTTGTAGATCACCTCTCGGATTGGCATTTTCTGAAACCGCATGTCTACCATTAAATAAAATGGCAGTTGACGACACATGTACAATGATATCCAATTCCTAAGACTGAAAACAATACTAGAAACAACAAAGTCCCCTGAATTTATTCAGAAAATTAAAAATATGTTTTATCCATCTAAATCTATACTGTCACCTTCAAACTAATCCCCATCGACTGCAACACATTCCTCAACACATTTTTTATATTTGGTTTTTGGTATGTCCATTAGTGCTTCCTGCCATTTTTCCATTTCTTTCTCTAGGCTGCCGAAACGCGTTTCCCGTAATGGTTTTTTGACTCGATTCAGCAGAAAGAAGTTACAGGGAAACGAATTCGGGGGGTGTGCGATAGTATTTGTTGTTCTTTGTCAAAAAAATACGAATAATGATGGCATTGTGCGACATCCACATGCAAAATCCGCGAGTTTTCTAGCCCCAATTCTGGTCTCTTTCATCACGCAAATGTCTCATATCGCACAAATAATACTCTTTGTTTAGTCTCTGGCCTTCTACCATTCTACCTACTTTGCCATTGCGTTCATCATCTTTGACTGTCTCACGCCCCTTTTGAACCACTCGTGGCACTGGTAAACGATCATTTGCTTTAGAGAATCGTTGCAAAACACTTTTACAACATTTGTAGCGTTCGCGCACAATTAAATCCATTTTTAACGCAAAATTTTATACAAATTCTTTGTTGCAAATTTAAATCCATTTTCGAGATTGTAAAAAGTTGCAAACTCAAATCAGAACAATGGGTGCGCCACAGGGCTGGCCACCAAAAAAAAATGCATCTCCTATTTACTGTACTGTGAAACCGTTTTTTTATTAATTTTATGAATCGTGGATTAAATTTCGATGCAAAAGGAAAGGAAGTTAATTTATAAACAACTTTAATTTGGCGATTTTTTTATTTGTTATCAAAAATGAAATGTATTTATTATATATCAATTCATCAATGAATTCATAACATAACCCAGCAAACCATCTTTAGAGTTAAAAATTCTTGTATGCTTTGGATGAGGGAAAATAACTTAACTAATGCTAACTGAAAATAAGTGCCAAGTGCTTTTGTATAGGGGCTTGTTATTTTATTGTTTAACTTCTATTTTACTTAGAGGAGACAGGTTAAAAAAGAACACGTCTGGTCGTACCGCAACCCGGTAACAAAGTACTTTTTATTTGACATAGTTTTCTTAGATCATGGGATCCAAAAGTACAGCATAGTAAAAAACTAAAATCTAAGGCCATCACAGTATATAGGATTGATACAATTGATCATGTGACAGGGCTGCAGCTTATCAACTTTTAAGATTTTCTCAAGTATTTCCGAAACTACTTGGAATGTTAAAAATATCTAAACCGCATATTGTTAAGGACTGAAATTACCAATGTTGCTCTAGTTTAACAACACTCGTTTCCCTTATAATTTCCAAGATCACGATGGTGGAGTTCAATTTTGTATTACCTGCGAAAAAGGAACTTCTATAAATAATTTTTATTCTACCATCCACCACGAATCACCCTGTATAGTGATGAAAAATAATTATATCTATTATATAAAAATTATTAGTAAGCAAAAAAAGTCTGTAAAAAAAATAGATATCTGAACATTCCTGTGTGTTATGTCGTTGTCTAAAGCAAATTTTTGTTTTATTTTGATAAGTAAAATGCTGTAACAATGATTTCATTTAAAACAAAAAAATGCTAAAAAAGTTAATGGAAAAATAGATCTTTCCAGTACCATTAAGTGAATGCCCAATAATTATTGAAAAGGAGCCATATACCTACAGAACTATAATAATAAGGATCAAAATGAAAAAACAATAAAATAAAAAAATTGCCGCAAATACATTAACCACGTATTCTGTGACCCAAAATAAGGATAAATGTTCATATAACCTAGGGTCCAAAACGTCTTAGTTTTTAACATACAGGCTGTTAAATTTAAAGAGGTCATGGCGATTTTTTGTAAATATTTTTGAAACACGTACAGTTACTAAACCTTTTCGGCTCTATTTAACAAACTAAAACTTAGTACCTATTGGATTGTCTTCAGGGGTGGATAACACAGGGGAGGCGTGTGAAAAATTTGCCCCAAATTTTTTGTTTGTCGAATTTTCGTTAATTTGGACTGCTCAATTTGAAAATCTGTTTTCCTTGTTGCACCTCGCTAGAACACACCATTTTCGAGAAAAATGCTTTTGAAAATTTAATTACAAATTATTTTAACGTTTACAATCGAGGTGCAGATTATCATTAGTGAGTTAATGACGCGTTTCATTTGTTTGTGTTGTTGTGTAAATAAAAATTAAATGTCAATTATTTGACAGCTTTCAATTTTGTTCATTGTTGGTAAAAAATAGTTTCAAAACGTTGAAAAGTTATGTGAACGGTATCAT